TAAAAGGAAAAATGTGTGTCACTTTAGTAATATAGAGGAAAAACCCTCACCTCACAATTTGCGATCTGATTGGGACAAAATGTCGATACTGGCAACATTTAAAGGAATATTTCAAGCTCGCTGTGGTGTATATAGTTGCAGGAGTAAGGAGTGAAAAAGTTTTTGAACTGTTTGACTTCTTACCTACGGTTCCCTTTGCACCACTCCCTGCCTCCACCACCATTGCCAGCGAGACAGAAGTCCTGAGCATCAGCTGATTGCTTTCAACTGATGAGATAAGCCTTGCACTACAGGGCTAAGCTCAGGAGAGCTAAATTCAGTTTCTGCTTAGAAATGTCAGCCTATCCATCCACAATTGGTAGTTTAGTGGAGCAGTTCCACCGTTCGAAAACAGTTTGGCGACTTACAATGATGGAGTGTCAGGGGACTACTGACCCCTTATCCACTGCAGCAAGCAGTTGTAGGTTTGGAGCTTGGAATGTTCGATAACTTTTTACGCTGCAGCAAGCACAATTGACTAATAAACATACTGCATATTAAATATATTCTGCACTGAAAGCAAACTTTAAATTTGTTTTTTAAGAAAGAAAAAAAGAATAACAAACGTCACTTTAATCACGTAAAATATATATGTCTGGACACGTGAAAGAAAAGTGTTGTTGCAAATGGAAAGTCCTGCAACAAATGTGACCAGCATATTTGCCAAATGGTAGGTATTATTACAGTTATATTTTTAAATGATACAGACTACTCCTTAATAGAGTAAGACAGATTCTGTTTTACCTTGCTTATTAACTTTCAGCCAGACATCTCTTGGTGGCTCAGTTCAAGAAAATTAAGCTGCATTTATCAGCTGAACAGATAAAACGAAAAGATTAGCTCAGGACTAGGCGAACCAAATACAAAATGCATAGAAAATGAAACCTAATTTTAAGCATAGATCAAAAGTGTTTAATCTGCTCTCTTCTAGGAAGCCGAGCACATGGGTACACATTGGTTTTAAATTAATTATTGGAAATGTGTTCTATGGGAGAAGTAAAGAGGGCATACACCAAACAGGAGATAAATTTCATAACATTTCCTCTGGCGGGTACACAGACAGACGAATTGTTGAATTAAACACGACTATAAGACTCACTAACATTATTAATGAACCTCACTGCTGCAAAGCAAACATTTGTCATACTCAGCAAAATCTTCACAAAAAAAAATTATTATGCAGAGTTCTCTGCACAGATAAACACTTAACCATTAAAAGTTAAATGATTCAATAATTTATTGAACTCCTATAACAATTACTTTCAGTACAATGGTGGTTTTAACACTATAGGATCAGAAATATAGGTTTGTGTTCCTGACCCTACAGTTTTTCTTTAACATGAACAGTAATGATAACATTATTTAATCATTTCCACATTTTAGTACATCTAGTCAATAGACATTTGCTTTGTTTTCATTTCAACGAAGACCAAACAAGTAAATCATAAGAAAACGGATTCCTTCGAGGCTGAATTAATAGGGATCTCAATAGGACAAGGTGGCTGAAACAAATTTTAAACACAAGAGTACAAGTCAATTAAAAATGTATCTGACCCTACCCTGAGGGGTTTAATAACCAATTAACCATTACCAAGATAATTCATATAAAAAAATATGACTGTACCTTGGACAGTTTTGCACAAAACTAAAGTACTTGAAATTTCATCCTTACATTCAGTCAACAAAATTGAAAGCAAATATATACATCAAATGGTCAATCTACGCAAACTTTTTTGGGGAAAATAAACATTTTGTGGGCATCTCATACTGGAGTCAATGAGACCTAAGTTGTATCAGTTTGTGCTCTCCACACGAATGTAGCCTCATGTGAAACAACAATTGATGGCAGCCCTTTAAGTGTTATTGAATGGTTTTTCTGATCTAGAGATTAAAGAATAACAATCTTTATTTTAAGACTATAGATTACTCTCCACAAACCTTTGCTTAAAAAAAAAAAAAAAAGTTACCAGTTTTTCCGGTGATGTCAGCATCCAAGGTAATATCAAACATAATATCCTCCAATCATCTGCTCCTCATAGATAAACCATGTATTGAAACTAGCCATGAGTGACCAAACACTGCACTGCTCCAACCAAATGCTACTATTAGCAGCATTTGATTCCCAGATCGAGTTTTACAAGTTTTAGTAGAAAACATTTCTAGTGGTTCTCAGGAAGACAACCACTTGAGGTGGATTTAATCCTGCAATGTAAACACTGTATCTTTGGGGGGAAAAACGGCAATGTTTTACATTGCAGAGATAAAACGAAAAGCCCACTGCACCCAGATATGAGGCTAAAGTGTTCCTTTAAGTACAATGTTTTAGATGTGATACCTAAAGAACTATTGGCCTTTGGAACTAAATTAAATACTATGTAAAACACCTTGAACTTCAGAACTGAAAAACACAAAGCCAAGTATTATGAACTAGGTAACAAATGTGGATAATAACACTCTCACAGAATCTAAACAGGGAATCTACAGGTCAGTTGGATTACTTTATAGTCCGATAGGATTTCAAAATTACCGTTCCTTATATGTGTTGCACGTTGTCTGAGAAAAGTGGAGGCAGTGACAAAAGTGGAGGCAGTGACAAAAAGGTATTTTTTTTCTTTTTTGGTAAATGCTCAGGCTATAATCTAGCCTTTCACTGCAGGCTATTTAATGAAAACACTAGGAATATGTACAAAGGATCAGCACTAATATACTAGATCTTACAGAGATAAATGTAAGTCACATGACCTAATTTTTGGTGCCAAAATCAAGTAATCTGAGGCCTATATAAAGCCAGTGTTGTCAGGTACATGTTTTTATCCACTTGAGAAAGCCCTAAGGGGAGAAACGCGTTGTGGTATTTTAATTGCTGTATTTTATTAAAGGTATTTTGGCCACTTTCAACTTGTGAGTCAGCCATTTTACTCTTATTTATTTTTACCTGGCACCAGAGTTTTTATTGTTCCAGTGAGAATTTTACTCCAAAGAATCCTTGGTGGGGATTATACCACTCAAGCTTTATCCATTGAGCAGTCTGCCTGCTCAATAAAATGTGAGTAACCACTTGGTATTTTATTACTTCACCTCTGGCTTTTATACAATAAGCACTATGATTGTTTCTTTTACATTTCATATGGTCCTTATACCAACAAGATATCCATCCACTACAAAACTTCACGTATCCCATAAGTGGGGATTGTACCACTGTATGCCATCCACACTAGAGCGAGTCTTATAGCACTGGAAAACGTGAGTAGGACCATATAGACCTCTAAAAACAGTACTTAGTACCTGTTGGAATATACTGCACCATTATTTGCTGTCTTTTCATTTTTTTTATATGGATTTCACGAATATCCCATGTCCATACGTTACTGAGGAATACTTCCCCTGACAAGATTGTGACTGACTTCTTATACAAGGTTTTATTTGGACTTTTTGTTTTGCTGAATTTATCAGGCATAGACTCTTTTGGACTTAATCTTTGGACTCTTGATTATTATTCATTATCGATATTTCAAGCTCTTTTTGTTTTTTTATCTTGTATGTATTTTCTCTTATATAGTGTCTTGTATATGTGCTTGTATAGTTTATAATCAGGTTTATTTATTTATATTTTATTTCACCTGTGGCGCCGCCTCCCCTTTCACCTTTATTAGTTTTATTTAATGAAAACACTGCCTTCTCAGAGAAAATTCAGTATATACATTGCTGCCTTGTAACACCTCCAGTGGCAGTCACTCAGACAGCCACTACAGGTGTTTCCTGGGTAAGTGTTGCACAATGTGCAGCACCTACGTTCAGCGTCACCTCTCTGCATTGAGGTTCTGAACTTTCCCCATAGAAATGTACGGATTCTGAGAAAGGTCAGGGACCTAAATAGTTAAATTCTATAGAGTAAGGAAAACGTGTTTGTATTTCTGACACTATAGTTTTCCTTTAAACTTTGCATCCCTGGCCTGCTCCAACCAGACGACAGAATTATGGGTGGGCGGCTAAGTTTATAAAAATGAAAATTTGGAACTGATCCCTAGATTGGTTGTAGTGGGTCCTCTGTTCATACTTGTTTCCCCCAATTAATGCTTAAAAGGCTTTTGAAAAACCATTTTCAACGTTATCTCAACGTGATACAGAACCCCTGTGTGTTGCTCCAAAAAGACCACTCTCTGGCATTTAATTCACAAGAGTCACCTACGTACTGATGATGATGTATTTACACCAGATTTATGTTTGCAACCCTATACTGACCATTCAATTCCTTATTAAAATATTTAATATATTAATAATTAAACTACTAACTACTATTTGGCAACTGCTTTCCAAATGGTTCCCTGCGGCTACTCATTACTGGCTGCCATTAAAACTAGCCTCTTGTCTGGTTTAAAGAGCAGAACATAAAGTTAAATTGTACGGAAATAAAAAGCCTTGTTTTACCAACTAAGTTTTCCCAGCCAGTCACCTCTGGCCCCACAGGATAAAGTACACATGGACATGTGTTTCTGTGCTTTATTAGCAAGCTGATAATTTGAGAGTAGTTAGTATATGTAAAGCCAGGAATTATTGGTGATAGGCGACACAAATTTAGCAACAAAGTTATAATGGTCATTCTCTGGTCATTTGTAGTTGCTACAAGCTATCAGCTGTTAATAGAGAAGCTATTTACTGACAAGGTTGCAATTTAATAGATTTTTTAAATATATTTTTTTATGAATTACTTTTCTTGTGGAGGCTGATAAATGCTTTTCAACTTAATTTGGTAGAACACAAATATGATACAAATTTAACTTATCCTTGTGATCTCAAAAATTCAAAATGTCTGATGTTCACCCACCCCTCCCCCCTCCCCCCCACCTCCAGATGCAGGTGTTCTGTATTTTCTGACATTTATTTTGCAATAAAAACATAACTGCCTAAGTGACAGATTTATGCTACTTCTGCAATATCTCTCTTTTAAAGAAGTCACATTGGCATATTTCACTCAGGTTCATACAGGAAAAAAGCTCTAGATTTGAAGCTGGACCACAGGAGACTGAAATGACTTTCTTGTGTTCAACAGAAAAGAGGGACTGTTTGGCATGTGACTTAGAATGTGGTTTGAGCTCAGGACAATGGACTTCTGGACACAATCAGTGAGTTGATTGACAGGCATGAGATATGTCAGAACCTCTCATTCTCCTCTGGGATAAAATATAACCGCTGTGGATCACTGCTTTTTCTTTCAAGGAAAATGTAAGGAAGGCAGGAGGTATTAATTCACAGACAAGGTCAAAATGGTCTATTGTTTAAGTAGCTATACGGACTCTGAAGTGGGATATATTAAGATTATTAAACTGTAATATGTTATTTATAAGACATGAGAGCGTTATTTAATCCATCACACAAATGTACAGTATGTAGCTCAGTTTACTAATTATAATTGCAGGTTTATCATCACTTATATACATATTTTTCCAAAAAGTGAATAGACAATGCATCACATTTTCCTACATCTAACAAAACCCAGACAAGATTAAAACACCAGTGGTAATAGTTACGAATTACCATCTAATATGCAGGTTATAAAGAAGATTCCTCAATCTTCCTAAAACACAAAATATACACTAAATAATTTGCAATATAAAATACAAACAAAGCCACAATGGTGTACTATGTATGAACACCTATTTGGTGTTGGTGTTATTTGGTCCTATATGCCTTTAAGCGTGAGAAGGGAGAAAGAGACAAATATATACACAAACATATGTTATACGAAAACATTAAAAAAAAGTGTTTTGTTAAATATACTTTAACAGGAGCACTGAATTGGACAGGGATCATCATACTTGATATGGATGTATTTAGTTGTTCGAAATCACACAGAAATAGGGGATACAAAACCGTACTATTGACCTTCTGGTCAATACATTGCTCCTGGATTCTAACAAATAAAGTTGCTATGAACTCCAAACATCTTTGAGAACTGACAAGTTCTCCTAGAGGCTAACAGGTATACATTAGTTTGGAATATCTATGGCTTACCCATGGTACTGTTGATGTACAGATTTTGTTCATGGCAAGCTGAGTAGCATACAGAAAATAAAATAAAATGGGATGTATAAAAAAAAAAAAATATGAGCATTCTCTGATCACTTTTAGTCTGTGCATGGCTGAGAGGAGAAGTCTGTGCAAGTGTTGGAAGGCAGAAAGAAATGCAAGATAATATAGTATTCTTGGTCAAAGAAAGGGATTCTGGATCTCAGTAGCTACAGGGCTGCGCCGGCTACAGAAATGTTCTGGACTTAAACATGGACACGGATGGAAGCCTGAACAGAACGTTCCAGGATTGTAAGGGCACCTAACCAGAGCTGTATATGTGTCACAGATCTATATCCATCACTACACCTAAAGGAAAGTGTTTGTTGTAACTGCTTCTCATACAATTACCATTGCATAATTCTAACATACTGTGAGAATATTGTTTAGAAATATTACTGTTATTAGTAAATTATTTTATTACATTTTACAATGGCTCCTAGCATTTCTTAACACATAATCAACTGGAATTCCCAATATCATATAGCACTTGGATTTCAAAATACAAGTGTATATAGAATAAATGTTATAGTTATAAAGAAACACTATATAGGACTATAATGACTTTTTGAATTGGGCAACTAAAATAATAGCTGTATGCCTATCCCATGCACGCTTAAACTCCTTTACTGTGTTAACCACTACCACTTCAGCTTTAAGGCTATTCCATGAATCCACTGCCCTCTCAGTAAAGTAATACATCCCAATATTTTTAAACCTTTGTACCCTCTAATTTAAGACTATGTCATCTTGTTGTGGTATTCTTCATTTACGGTGTTGATTCCATTTATGTATTTAAAGGTTTCTATCTTAACACCCCCATCTCGTCTTTCCTCCAAGCTATAATTAAATACAGCTCCCGTAGAGTCCCTCTAAGGATGTATCATCCAGACAACCACAGGTAAAATGGAATGGGGAGGAGGGAGCTGTAGATAGTGTGTGGTGGTCGAAATGCAAGGGATATAAAATATAGCATAGTACATAGAATACAATAAATACAGAAATGCTTACAGAGGTCTGAAATGGCTGCAGGGGATAATGCTTAGCTTAGTGTTTTTCTGAATCTCACCCCTGTTTGCCAGCATTACTAAAACGTATGTATCCTGTATACTGGAGTAATAAAGCACAGATCAATTTGCATATGCTCCGGTATAACACTTGCAAAAGCCAAATTGGGCTCTGCTTTATCTTTTTGGCATATACCCAGTAAACTGTACTTTAATGTCACTATATTGAGGAATGGGAAAAATCCACCAACGTGTCCCCCTGAGCATCCACAGTTTCAGGAGGCCATCAATCCTTGAGAAGACTATCTGCCTCTGGTGACTGCTCCATTACATGGTTTTCTGTTTGGTGGTTTTCTGCAAGAATGGTTTAATAGCTACAGCACATCCTTCATGACCACTCCATTTCAATTCCTCAGAAAGTTCAATTGTGTGCTTTAGTGCAGCGATGTTCTGCCAGACGCTGAGCAAGCACTTCGCTAGATATCCTGCTGTCCCTCGAATATTGCCCTTTAACTTCTATTTACCAGATGCCGACTGCTTTTTGGCACTTTAACTGCCGTTTTGGTTTTAAATAGGATACAATATCAGAAAATATATTGACAGTTGTTAGTATGCATGTGTGTCTATATGCATACACCTATACCAAACACACAAAATAGGACAGATTTACATGGATGGCATGTATTACACAAGAACCTGATGAAGATTTAGTCACCTATAGAATACTTGTAAATATACACATGGCATGTATAATATCAGAAAACGATGGGTCATTTATACTCTCTTACAAAAGGATATACAACACATTTTTTTAAAATATGTGGAAAGTCAGTATATCTATAACTCCAATCACATGGACAGGAGAAGGAAAACTGGATTTGACACTTTGTCTACAGACCCATATAGTACTGCCTTAGTGCTCAAGTGTATACATATGCACAATATACAGATTTGAGCACCACTACTCACTATTGTATGCATTTGTGGAGAGAGTGAGAGAAAGTGAGCGGAGAGAGTGAAAATGTTTACTGGTTAAATAGAATAAGAATCTTTATTAGAATATTTTAAGATTCCATTAACTCTTTCGGCCGTCACTTTGGTACAATCTTTCCAATCACATATTCAGAACAACGATGTCCTTCCTGCCTCTCACACACAAATATTACATAAATCTTTCTAAAAATAATTTGGAGAGAACTTTGGCTGCAGGTCTGACATACTGGAAAGTACTAGCATTGCCAATACATGAATTTCTGTCTGAGGGAGGATTTACGCACTGTTCTGAAATACAAGTAAATGATGAAACTGTCTCCTGGAATGAACTGGTTAAATTAGTGAAGGGCATTTTTATGGTTCTCTCAACACCTTCATATTGGAGTATACCTAGAATTCATGAGTGCGCTTTATGACTTCTCATTAAACATACAAGGACACTCCAAACACCTTGCATGGATATGAATGCTTCAAGGAACACTATAGTCGCCTAAACAACTTTAGCTTAATGAAGCAGTTTTAGTGTATAGATCATGCTTCTCAGGTTTCACTGCTCAATTCACTGCCATTTAGGAGTTAAATCACTTTGTTTCTGTTTATGCAGTCCTTGTCACACCTCCCCTGACTCTGATTTACACAGCCTGCATGGGAAAAAAAACATTAGTTTCACTTTTAATCAGATGTAATTTACCTTAAACATTTGTATCTCTTTCTATAGTATTACTTTATTGACAGGGTAGTGCATGCATAGAATAGCCTTCTAGCTGAAGTGGTAGAGGTTAAAACAGTGAGGGAGTTTAAGCATATGTGGGATAGGCATAAGCTGTCCTAGACTTAAGATAAGGCTAGGGACTAATTAAAAGTATTTCAAAATATTGGGCAGACTAGATGGGCCGAATGGTTCTGATCTGCCGTCACATGCTATGTTTCTATGTTTATCTGTAAATTTAACTTTAATCACATACATGAGGTTCTTCCAGGGTCTAGCAAGCTATTAACACAGCAGGGGATAAGAAAATCTAAATTAAACAGAACTTGCAATAAAGGAAGGATAAACTTTAGATGACTCTTTACAGGAAGTGTTTAGGAAGGCTGTGCAAGTCACATGCAGGGAGGTGTGACTAGGGTTCATAAACAAAGGGATTTAACTCCTAAATGGCAGAGAATTGAGCAGTGAGACGGCAGGGACATGATTTATACACCAAAACTGCTTAAATAAGCTAAAATTGTTTTGGTGACTATAGTGTCCCTTTAAGTTAAACTAACTCTGAATCAAGTATTTCATATATATTTTATAAAGATTTAATGATTATGAAATATGCGTACTGACAGCAGTGGGATTTAGGCATCTGTCTCATTGCAAAATATCCTCTATGGAGGCACCAACAGTCTTGCAGAAATCTCCATAGACCTCAGAGTTGCACTTTTGCGCATGAGCAAGAGTAGAGTACGGACACGGCTCAGGGAAAATGAAGCAACAGGAGCCAAAAAACAGGTATGCAGAAAGAAGATGGCTTTGAGAAAGAGCTTCGGCAAAGTCACCCTACTTTCCACTGCACCCGACGGCAATAAGACCCTAGCCCAATGACCCTTTTGGAGGACTTTGCAAAATATTAAAGTAAATGCAAGCTCTCATGCCACTCTCGTGCTTGCCATAACGCATACACATAAACATGATGTTGTTATAGATGTGAGATTATAATAAACTATGAGTTTTCTGCCAGGGTGAAAGGATTAAAAATGTAATTTGTGGAGTTTACTTTAAAGTTTGCTTTCTCTTTTATGTGCATGCTTTCTAATATCTGTGTGTGTATATCTAATATATATGTGCAATGTATAACAATGATGTAATTGTAACCAATATGTTAGGGCAGTAGGCCTGTAGCATACTACCCCAGACCATATTTTAAGATCATGTAGAAGAGAGTAGCACCAGATTTAAAGGGTTACTCCAAGCACCATGAGCACTTCAGTGAGCGATATATCCCTTTGTAGCATCATTAGTGTCAATTCAATGCATATTCAACATCTGTCATCAGCAATCTGGAACCAGGCAACCAATGGAGGCAAAGCCCATCCTACATGGCACATGACCTCCTCTCTGACATACCTCCTCCACCAGCAAGGAGGAGCGATGTTACTGGAGGTGGATTAGGCTGCTGGTAGAACTTAGTGTTGGCACAGGTTTACAAGTAAGTTTTTTGGTATTTTATTTTTTTAAGGAGGGACCAGGACAGTAAGAGTTACTCCCACCTTTAAGTCACATGTTTGTTTTTTTACAATGATCAGTTAAATGCAAGTGAGGCTACACTCAAAAATATATTCAGTTTAGTAATATATGCTATATTATGTAACCAAGAAATTGTATACATTCTAAGAGTGGTATATAAGGAACAAGGATTGCAACTTAAAGGGACACTATAGTCACCTGAACAACTTTAGCTTAATGAAGCAGTTTTGGTGTATAGAACATGCCCCTGCAGCCTCACTGCTCAATCCTTTGCCATTTAGGAGTTAAATCCCTTTGTTTATAAACCCTAGTCACACCTCCCTGCATGTGACTTGCACAGCCTTCCATAAACACTTCCTGTAAAGAGAGCCCTATTTTAATGCAGAGAGTGATGACACTGAACATTGGTCCTACAAAGCTTGCTGTCTGACAACCACTGTAAGTATCCTTAGGTGTAAATGTATCCACTGTTTTTTTTTCACAGAAAAGGCAGTGTTTACATTTGTTAGCCTGCAGGGAGAGTCTCTTTACACCAAAACCATGACATGAAGCTGCAGTGAGTCTATTGCTTAGTGTCCCTTTAACCCCTTAAGGACCAAACTTCTAGAATAAAAGGGAATCATGACATGTCATACATGTCATGTGTCCTTAAAGGAACACTATAGTCACATGAACAACTTTAGCTTAATGAAGCAGTTTTGGTGTATAGAACATGCCCCTGCAGCCTCACGGCTCAATCCTCTGCCATTTAGGAGTTAAATCCCTTTGTTTATGAACCCTAGTCACACCTCCCTGCACGTGACTTGCACAGTCTTCCATAAACACTTCCTGTAAAGAGAGCCCTATGTAGGCTTTCTTTATTGCAAGTTCTGTTTAATTAAGATTTTCTTATCCCCTGCTGTGTTAATAGCTTGCTAGACCCTGCAAGAGCCTTCTGTATGTGATTAAAGTTCAATTTAGAGATTGAGATACAATTATTTAAGGTAAATTACATCTGTTTGAAATTGAAACCATTTTTTTTGTCATGCAGGCTCTGTCAATCATAGCAAGGGAAGGTGTGGCTAGGGTTGCATAAACAGAAACAAAGTGATTTAACTCCTAAATGACAGTGAAAATGCAGGGGAATGATCTATACACTAAAACTGCTTTATTTAGCTTAAGTAATTTAGGTGACTATAGTGTTCCTTTAACATTCTGGGTGATTTATCTGTGTTTGGGGAATCCACCGAAATCACTCAAATGACAGGTCACACCTGAGAGGTAAGCCACCTTCTGCATGTTTGGTACTAAAATCATTTTTAACAATGGATCATCTGAAAACTGATCAGACCCTTTTTAGTTGCTCCCGAGTGAGCAGCTAAGAAGATAACCTGGAATCTAGAAAGTTTGTGGGCTAGTATTTTCTTGATTACTGAATTATTTTTACATTTGTTCATCTTTTCTTTACAATGCCATTGCAAACAGACATGAACAGAAAATTCTTCAATAGAAGAAAACAGTGTTGGAACAACATTGGATTCGGAGTATGCTCCATGTGGTGAATGGTAACATGTTTACCATTTACAATATCCTTATGTTCATCAGCAAGAACGACGTGGCTTCTCAGGTATCTTAGTTTTGTTAAGTATTTAAGACTAGAATCAACAATTAAACCAAAGAATATGAGAACTTTCAGAACGGACAAAACCTCAAAAACTCAGAAGCTTGCTCTTCGGTAAATCCCAGCTCAGGTCTGAAAAATAGTTTACTCACTTGTGCCATTACAGAGAGAACATATTCCTAAGTATTTCAGACTGATCCCATCCATATGGGAAGTCCAGAACTGAAGTGCCGACAAGTTCTCTCTGCATGAGAGATAAAGCAACCCCAGGTGGTTGCCTACAGGAGGTTCCTCGTGGTTTGTTTGAGAAGTCCATGGATGTGGATGTTGCATCTTTGCCCCTTATTATCTAAATTATCTATCTGCCTCCGCAGATCCAGTAACATACTGCCCTGCCAGGTTGTCGCCAATTCAGTTGCCCGGTGTGCTTGATCCAAGCTTTTAAGTGCTGCAATGATCTTCTAGGCCCGAGATATCTTGGCTGAGGTCAGCCATTTCCTGTTGTATGACACCTCTAATCGAGGACTCCAGGGTGGCGGCATCTGTCTTAGTGAACATGGCTGTGCATAAGTCTAGTCTGCTTTCATCTGCTCCAATCCAGACAAAGCTCCATGTGCCACTCAGCCTAAATCTTCTGTGCTAGGCACAGGTAATGGTGGCGCCATTTGGGTCCAACCCTTTTGAATACTTTTTTCCATAATGAGCATTAGTAAGTAGTTCGTAGTAAAAAAAAACAACAAAAAAATCACTTTAAAAAGTTACCAAAAATCTCCAGGCGCCGCACTTCACTCTCCATCTAATTCACCAGAGCCATTGCAAGGTCTGATCAAATGCTTATCACAGAGTAAGCATATTACCGGCTCAGAACACATACGCACACTTTGAGCTTGGGGAAGGAGAGATTTGCAGGTGCACTGCATTACACCGTGCAGATAACACATTACATTTTTATACAGTATTTAAATGTGCAGGGGTGGAAGCATAAATGCTGCCAAATCACAGAAGTGGTCATGGTGGTTGAAGTAACCCTTTAAGCAATCCCCATCCCTCTACTAACTCCACTAAGCTATATACTGTCCATTATGATATATTCCCCCACCAACATCGCAGTCACAAGGAATTTCTTTAAACTATACATATTGGGGTATGAAGGCTATGTAGGATATAAACTACCTCTGTAAAATATTGTTACAACTGAAGTACAACATACATTTTAACATGAAATAATTTTTAGTTGATATAAGTTGCTCACCAAATTATACAGAATACCATTTCAACATTGTTTTCTCTTTTACTTTTAATTAATTTTCTCTGTAAATCTAACAATCTACATTTACAACTTTAAAAAAATAAATAAGTTAAAAAAGGATAGTGTACACCTGGCATAGAGTCGACAAAGAAAACAATACCAGTAGTTAAAACAAGTCAGAAAAAAACATCATTGTTTTGTTCCAGAGAGAGAATAATGAAGAGGTCATATATTAATGTAAACACATCTTACACTTTGACTCAGTGCAGCATAAACAATTAACTCACACACAAAAAAAGTAAAAAAATAAATAAAATAAAAATCCTGTCTATATTATCAAAGCTGCTGTGCTTATTATTCGACTCTCGCCTTTTTGGAATGAGTTCAACAACATTTCGCTAGCCACCCGTGATCTCCATACAATAAACTCTGGGCATGCCATGCACTGAGTAACATTTGCTATACATCAATTCCCCACACGCTTGCTGCAGTGGAGGTGTAATTACTGGCCAGGAGTCCTGCAAGCCGGACTCTCCGCTTTCCATATCCCCGGGGTACCTCCGTGGAGACAGCATGTGCAGTGAGTTTCATTTACATCTGAACAGAATGGAAGCAAATGTTGTGACCCAAAGCTGAATACACACACACAAAAGGCTAAAGAAATAAAGAAATCTATTATAGCCACCGCGGTATGGTATTCTCTTCCTGATTCAATGGTTGGGTAATTAAATTTCAGCTGGCTTCAGATATACTGCCATAGTTGCTTGTTATTGGCCATTAAATAATTCAATGTAACCAGTAATATAGAAACATAGAAACATAGAATGTGACGGCAGATAAGAACCATTCAGCCCATCTAGTCTGCCCAATTTTCTAAATACTTTCATTAGTCCCTAGTCTTATCTTATAGTTAGGATAGCCTTATGCCTATCCCACGCATGCTTAAACTCCTTTACTGTGTTAACCTCTACCACTTCAGCTGGAAGGCTATTCCATGCATCCACTACCCTCTCAGTAAAGTAATATTTCCTGATATTTTTAAACCTTTGTCCCTCTAATTTAAGACTATGTCCTCTTGTTGTGGTAGTTTTTCTTCTTTTAAATATAGTCTCCTCCTTTACTGTGTTGATTCCCTTTATATATTTAAATGTTTCTATCATATCCCCCCTGTCTCGTCTTTCCTCCAAGCTATACATGTTAAGATCCTTTAACCTTTCCTGGTAAGTTTTATCCCGCAATCCATGAACCAGTTTAGTAGCCCTTCTCTGAACCCTCTCTAAGGTATCAATATCCTTCTGAAGATACAGTCTCCGGTACTGTGTACAATACTCCAAGTGAGGTCTCACCAGTGTTCTGTACAATGGCATGAGCACTTCCCTCTTTCTACTGCTAATGCCTCTCCCTATACAACCAAGCATTCGGCTAGCATTTCCTGCTGCTCTATTACATTGTCTGCCTACATAGGTGTGCGTACAGGGTGTGCCGGGTGTGCCGGGGCACACCCTAATCTCCGCGACACTCCTGTGGATTGAGACTGGCAGGGGAGGATCTCCCCTGTCAGCTCATAAAGAGCCAGCGCTATCTGAGCGCCGGCTCTGCTCTAACCCTCCATGGGCCGGTGGGGAGATCAAAGCATGGAGGGAGGCAGGAGAGGACCCAGGGAGCTCCAGCCAGCAGCTCCGCCGCGTTCCTCTCCCGAGATCTGAGCGTTGCCACGGCAACTCTCCACTGGACCACTAGGGATGACAGTAGCAACAAGGATTCCCCCTCCATACACAAGGTAAGAAGAGAGGGGGGGATATTAAGTAATCTGCCC